TTCCTCTTCAGGAAGACCAGACCTGTTTCAAGAGTATGAATATTTTAACCATCATTCACATATTCACAAAATGTTGCTATGTTGATGAAGTATCTTATCCTATTGCAGAACTGCATACACTGAACATAAAGCACCACACACGTTTTGCCTAATGCCTTACATACCTTAAGAAAAGAGACAACCAGGCAGGAAGAAAACCAAATTCAGCACTAAACCAAATGTATGTTATTACTCACTATAGCCCCTTTCCCAGTTTAGCCTCCTCCCCTTTGGTTTTGTTCAAGATGATCAAAAATTGTACCTAAGTTTCTCCAAGAGACAGGAGTCATTTGATTAAGTGGACAGAAAAGAATTTTTTTTATCAGACAATTCCTCATGAAACTTCTCTTTCCAAGAGTCACCATCCATCAGTCCCAAATTCTAGAGATGTTTTATAAGCCATTCAACAATCAGAACTCTTTTTTTTAAGACAAAAATTACTGTTCATTGGAGCTACCCAACACAGTAACTTACAATACCAACAGAAGCTGACAGCATCAGAACAGAAAGCAAGAGTCAGCAGTTTCAGAAACACCTGCAAAGAGCAAGGATAACCTCTCTGAAGACTRGAGCAAGACAACAAGAAATCAGAAAATCCAAGACTATACTAGGCAACACGTGAGTAACTAATGAATATTTCAAATCCAAGTGCAAGCAGAGCCATGCAAASTCAGCATGACAGAGCAAAGCTTCTCTGAAATTGATTATTAGCAATAAGAAATCATTTAAGAAATCTGCAAGCCATGATTCCAAATCTGTGTATGCAAGTGTATCATTAGGTCACAAACAATGCAGGTTGTGGAGACAAACAAGTGCTTTACTGAAAACTACTGACTCACTCTGGACTACAAACAATATTGTGCTTCTGCCTCCAGACACAGCTCAGCCCTGGAGATCCTTCTGGCCAGGCTCCCTACAACCAGGTCACCCCTTTTACTGTCTCAGGAGGAATTCTGCATCCCTTCATGACAACTGAGCAAGTGAAAAACAGCTTGAGAAACAGAAATTGCTACACCATGAATATCCTTCACAACCAGCAGAGATGAGTAAATCTCTGTCCAGTGTAGGTTAGAACCTTGTTCCCACTGAAAACCATAGCAAATCTCACAAATTTCCATCTAACACCCAGATATATCAAAAAYGGATAATGCAATGAAAGCTGCAAGAGGAACAATGCTGTCCCTTTTCCTGTGTGTGCACACCTGCAGCATGACCACAAAGTGCTGGCTCTAAGGAGCACTGGGACCCTTGCTGGTGTTGAGTGGCAATCTCCAACTGAGAGCAAGATCAGGGCAGAGGGAAGGCATCTATTAGGTGAAGGCATGTAGTGGCCTGGTACTCTAATCTTCAGCTGAAGAATGAATCTCATCTTCCCAACCACAACACTTGATCCACTAAATATGATTAAGAAAAAGGTCCCCCAAGCCAAGTGCTGATGTAGAATACAAACCCAAGTTTGCCAAGGCRTCCTTTGTGCTCTGTTTTGCTTTCCTTCAAAGGTGGAGGAACAAATACAGGCAGTGGGGAGGAATACACATTCCCACATTTTAACAAAGAACATGACTGCAGAATATTGACAAAAGGAAAATATTATGAAACTTGTGGTTTCCCACGTGCTTCTTACAATGGCTTAAGGCACAGAGTTAAAAGGCTCCTTATAAATATCCAAGGTGGGAACTTTCCTTCTTTTAAGAACAAAAATCTCAGATTAGCCTTCACACCCTGACATAGAGGACTTTCATCTTCTAATAGGCTTYTTTATGCAACAGTAAATTAGATATCCATTGCTAAGATCCTGGATTGAATTAATGATATTATATTATTCATGTATTTTTAGCTATATCTTATCTTGATTATTCTATAGACTAAGTGCTGTGCAGCTGCTAATAGACCTCCTTTGGGCAACGAAGRAATTGAAATACAGGAGTGTCACAGATACCAGCAGTGACTCTATTCTGCAACAAAATTAAAAGCAGAAACCCAGAGTCACAAGAATTCTCCAATGTCCACTAGATACATACCCAAACTATATACTATGTACATTAAAACATTAATGACACAAACATGCAATAAATAGCCTACAGCGTTTGCCTTGTGCTATGTTCTGCAGTTCAGCAATCTTGGACAACTACAATTGTAAGCACATTAATTATGTTTTTTAAACAATTACATTCTGGGTTTCTAGGATGAGTGCATAGACTATTTCCTTTACTACTGGATAGTAAAGCGTACACATAGAGAAGTCACTCAAAGAGGTTGGTAAAGAAAAAGCTCAACAAATGCTGAAAACAAACCATAATTTTTTAGAAATCAGCCATCCATCACTTCTGCCTTCAATTATCTCCTTTCACTCCCTTTTCTCRTATTACACTCTTCTGGCCCAGCTCCAACCTCTTCTAAAACTCCTGATCTGCAAAGGCCATGCTTTTCCACTACATTCCCCTGCATGATCATCTTCATTTCCCTTTGTGCAGTTCTGAACTCAGGCTTGCATCCTTCTTGTTCAACTTCTGCCCTTTCTGCAGCAAAGCTTTTATCCAGGAATTAAAGGAATCCAATCCGATTTAATGCGACTTCCTTCTCTCCAGCTTATCTCTCCCTCTCTCCCCCTTTCATCTTTATCCGATTCAAAACACAACTAMATTGTTTTGCATTAATTCAACATTAATTCAACCACAGCCTTGTTGTCTAGTCCTCTGACTGCACTTTCCCATTCAGGTATCTGTTTTTCTAGACATGGTTGCTAGTCCTTCACTCACCGAAGATTCCTTTTGAATGTTTTACCTCCTCAAAGAAGCATCCTCGGTTAACTAACCCAGAATGCCATTAGCTTTGGTTTGAAATCTCTATTCAAGACCAGTTTTTTTAATTCTCATATAACAGCTATTCAAGGACCATTAGCAATGGATAGAACTGGGCAGGGAGACAGAGTGSATTTAAATAAAAATAAATAAAACAAACAAATACATATGGAAATGTTATTGATGGAGAGGGCACTTCTGTTCCCTCCTCTTTATATGCCACTGAGTATTAACTTTCAGGGGTCTCTCCGTGTACAAGCAGAACCCAGCATCTTTATACTTCATGTGATATCCACCAGACAGCAAAAGCAACCATAAATGTGAACTCTCTGAAGTCAGTCCATAACTTTGATAAGTACCTTYCTAAATGCACTCCTATAAAACTTCAGTTCAGCAAAGTCAGCCACGCYGCTGCTCCATTACCGCCGAGCTGACTCAGATCCCTGGGCAAGGGATGCTATATCCTGCAATTAGGATGTAACCATGCTCTGTGCCAGAATCACGGCAAATCTGTACTGCTTCACTCGGTTCGGCCTGCTTGGCAGTTTTCTGTGTCCTGAGCACTGTCAGCTACTGTATCCTTCCATGAGTAACAACCATCAGATACCATGGGAGAGACTGGGAATACTTTAAGCAGCAACAAAAAACTTCTTGATCAGGAAGAAAAGTTGTAGTAGCTTTACACACTTACATCAGAGTTTTTACACATTTACAGTGGAGGCGATTGTGAAATAAATGCATTTATTTCAAACCACTCATTTTACTTTTTTTCTTTCTCCTTAGAGTAATATTCRTATTAACAACTTAACTAGATGAGGAGGACTTGAAAATTTTATGAGCATAAAATCTGGTGAATAAAAGCTGAGACATTCAGAAAAACAAAACCCATTAATTAGTAGTTTGGTCTGCAAGACCAGTATTGAATCCTAATCCTAAAGCCAAATGCAACCATTACTAAGTTTTGGACAGACATGTAACTAAGTGTTTGAACTTGTGACTCTTCAAGGGTCTTCAAAGGATCCTGAATGTCTATGGGATGTTGTTTTTTTTTTTTTTTTTTCTTTTGTCAGCAAAGCATTATGGAACTTTGAGAATCCTATTCTAGTGTATTGTAATATGCTCTTCACATTTGAAAAAATCTTTACATAGTGTAAGTTATAATCAGAGGTAAATACATACACTATGAAGAGCTTGTTTATTATTACGAAGAGCTTGTTAATGCAAGTTATCAATGCTTATACTTCATGGATTGAAAAAAGAAAGATGAGACAATTTTTTTCACTTATTTTGTTTTTTAAATGCACAGTAGTCCATTGGAAAGGGAGGGAACAGAGGCCTGCAACTCATCTTGGATGTCAGCAGTTACCTCAAATGCTCAAAWTTTATGCACTTCATCTATAAAACATAGACTCAATGGTTTTTTCTCTTTGGATGTAACAACGATGTATCACCACAAACAAAAGGGGTCAAGATGAAAATTACTGTATTTTAATACAAAATGGGACTGTCAAAAGTTATAGGGATTGCTCTTCATACAATAGAAATATGTTTTGCAACACAAACAGTACCAGGTTAATCATTGGGCTCGATGATCTTGGAGGTCTTTCCCAACCTTAATGAGTCTATGATTCCATGGAATTTGAAAATATATCCCGAGTTGGGTAGCAAGCAATGTGTACGTTAAATCGCTGTGTTTAGTTCAGATGTTACATTTCAAGCAATTCCCTCCCGACATCCAACATCTATTTTTAAAATCGCATGCGAGTCCACAGAACACAAACCCACCCTTGCCCACGCTTCAGCCTGAAGCCGAAATTAAGCCGCAGCGTCTCAAGCCCCGCTGTCGCAAAGGCACCGCAACTTTCATTTTGGGTCCCCCGGCCGCCGCAGGCTGTGCCCGCCCGGGCCCCCGCAGACGGCCGGGGGAGGGCATTGACGGGGACAGGGGCACGGGGACCATCTTAACCCATCGGGGCGCCCTTGCAGCAGGACTGGCATCCCCAGCGCTCCTGCGGGAAAGCGAGCCGCGCGTCTCCCGAGCATCGCTCTGCGCCGAGCGCTCTCCTCCGGCGGTGCAAACAGCCCTGGCCGAGGATGCGGCGAGGCTCCGCACGGCCGGCCCTGCTGCTGCGGGCCCCTGTCCCCCCGCCCGGCGCTCACCTGTGTCCGCGCCGCCTCGCTCCGCACCCGCGTGCTCAGCGCCGGCCACCGCGCCCCGCCGCCGCCCTCGCCGGAGACCAGCCGCAGGGGCCTGATGCTCTCCCGCTCCGCGAAGGGGCTCTGGCCCCGCCGCCCCGCTGTCGCTGTGGCTGTCGCCGCCGGCCCGGCGCCTCCTGCGCAGGGGAGAGGCACTGTCACCCGGCTGCGCCCTCGCCCCCGGCGCGCAGGCTGCAGCGGGGGCTCCGTTTCCATGGGGCTCCGCTGCAGCCTCGGCGCGGCGTCCCCCCCTCCCCACCGCCACCGCCACCGCCGCCCCCGCCCCAAGCGCGGCGCCGCTGCCCCGCGGCCGCGACTCACCTGGGGCTGCTGTCAGGGCGCCGAGCGCCAGGCAGAGGAGGCAGGCGGCAGCCCGCATGGCGCTGCCCGCCGCCCCGCTCGCCGCCGAGCGCCGCCGGCTCCGCGCCTGCACGGGCGGGGGTGCTGCGGGGCCGTGGCTGCCGCGGGGCCGGGGCTGCCGAGCTCCGCCCCGCCGCCGCGCCGAGCCCCCTGCCAGCGGAGGAGATGGCGAGAGCCGGCGAGGCTCCCCGCAGAGCCCGCTCGGAAGAGGGAAGTGCTGGGAAATGTAGTCGTTTGCCAGGGCGGGAGGGAGCGGGGCGAGAGCGGAGGGGAAGCCCCGGAGCCCGGGGAGCGCCGCAGGGATTCCGCAGTCGCCCCCGCCCCGCGGGGCCGCGCCGGTACCGCACCGCCCCGGTACCGCACTGCTCCGGGGCCCAGGGAACCCCCGCCGCAAAACTTGCCTCGGCTGACAGCTGCGGCTGAGGGCGGGGGCTCTCTGGGGAAGCAGTCGGGGCGTTTTCCCTCCCTCCCTGCCCCTACGGTCGCCAGCCCCTCTCTCCTCYTTTACGTGTTCATTTTCAGAGCAAACCTTCATTTCCTTCTCTATGACCTTTTTTCTTCCTCCTTTCTTAAATTTCTACTCCTTCCCTGCTTTTTTTAACAAAGGGGGAAGAATTACAACGCAGAATCATTCCTTTGGCGTTACAACACGCTCTCCTGGACTAAGCAAGAGGCAGAAGTGTCAAGGAGTCCCCACGATGTCCGTTCCCTGAAACGCGAGAATTACTCTCCCTCAGCGGAGGGATGGCTGCATCTGCAACCCAATTCTACACTCCCACCTACCGGGAAGCCGAGAGCAGCAGTGCTGCCTCTCAGCAGGGTGTATCTCACCTTCCTTAACTACATTTCTTGACGAAAATGGGACGAGAGTGGCTATTTGTTAAGGCGGCTGTTGCCCCGCGTTTTTCCGAAGGGGCGACAGCAAGGACTGCCATGGCACGCAGTTGAGGTGAGTGGAGAGAGGAGGAGGAATGTCAGGGCACTGGGCAGATGCAGTGCGCTACCGACCTAGGCAAGAGAATGCAAGGTCTGATTCCCCACTGCAAGTTKTAAGTTGTAAGCACTTAATAAACGAGGAGGTGGCATCACAGACAGTCAAAGATTTAAAAAAAAAAAAAAAAAAAAAAAAAAAAAAAAAACCTTTGTTTTCATCATCTTAAAACCACTATGCACATCAATATTAATCGCACTGTTCGCACCGATAACAGCCGGGACACCCGGCACCTCCATTTCTGCTCTTAGGAGCGTTTCCACCCGCCGGGCTGCCTTCTGCCTTGCTGGGCTCTCCACGGGAAGGACCGTGTTCCGGGCACAGCGGCTCGGCAGCGGCTGCCTGGCTCCCCRGAGCCACCCGCCAGGGAATGTCGGCGCTCCTGGCCCCATTTCTCTGTAGGGCTTACTTTACTTACACATAGCATCTCATTACAGGAACTAGTCAGAGGATAGATGAAAGAAATTCAGTTTCTCRCAGTTTGTTTCCGTGGTTTGAAATAGAAAAAATGACAGTCCGGGCTGCAGAGGAGAGGAYTGCATTTGGAAATATTTGGTAATTTTGAGGAGAAAGTGGCTAATAAGTTTTGTGCTGTCCTGCTTACACTGCAGTCAGGTACTACAGATAAGATGGAATATTACCCCAAAGTATCCATTAAATCCTAAAGCAGCTGTTGAAACAATGCAGTTATAAAACTCTGCTTGGGGTGTCAAAAAGACCATGCATAGGGAGAGTAAAGAAAATGAGYAAGTGCTATTTATAGCAGGAAAAATCAGTATTATAATACAATGTTTCAATCTTCTTACAAAAGTCGTAAATCCTTACATTTCAGGCTGCAGCCATCCTCTGCAGTTATTTCAGTCAGACCAAACYTTCCCCACTGGCACATATTTCACAGCTGCTTCTGTCAGTATTTCTGTGAGAATTCATGACACTGGGTATGTATAACACCCRTTAGGCAGTAGATACACAGTGCAGTTACACACTCATTTCCTCAATTACTACATCATACATTTTTTTTCTCTTGCTCACCAGTGTTCAGATTTAGTGTAGGTGTTACACGTGGAAGATTSACCAACCCAGCAGCAGCCAAGCGTTGGCTGCTTTAGGCCAGCAGCTATGAATGCAGAGTGTTATCCAGCCTGTGTGCTCAGCAGRTATCATGAGGTATGATACATATGCTTCATAAGTGCAGTCCTTTTTTTAGTATRCCAATTCTATTTTGGTCAAATCACTAATTTTAAAAATAATATTTATAACTTTTTTTTTTTTTTTAGAAATACAGCCAAGTAATACAAAGATAAATGCATTTTTAAAGTGTGCATGCTAGAAGCAATTAGCCAAAACAGAGCTAGAAAAGGTTTTGTATTCCTCTCCCTGCAAATCTCTCTTGTTTACATCTACTATTTGGCTTATCACTTCTTTGGTCAACACTGAAGATTAATTCTAAAGAGAAGACTTAAATAAATTGCAGAAAAATTTGATATCATGTTGAAGAATCTAAATCACAAGGATGTAAATCCTGATCCATATGTCWGAGATTCCTCCTTATTGTACACATTGATTAGAAATGGATGATTTGATAGGCTTAATCCTTCGGAGAAATAATATTTAGATTTTATTGATGGTGATTTCATATTCATTTGGGAAATCAGGAGAAGACCAAGATTGAMCTCCTAGTTTTACTCTACCGAGAGTTCCTCAACATTGCTGAGGACTGTGGCAGACTATTCACCTTTGAGTTCTTTCACATCAGGGGACAGATTTTTTCTTCTTCTAGCAACTCATAGAATATCTCATGTTGGAAGAGACCCATTAGGATCATAAAGTCCAGCTCCCTGATCTTCATGGGGTGACCTAAAGGTACACCAAATAACTGTGTCATGCACTCCTTTAACTCTGACTTCAGGACTGCTTCCCTGAGGAGCACGTTCCAGTGACCACCCACCCTCAGAGTGAAGAACCTTTTTCTGATGTCCAGTCTGAACATTACCAATTGCAGCCTCCTACCATTTCCTTGTGTCCTATTTTSTGGCCCCAGAGAGAGATTAGCACCTCCCACTGCACAGGCTGTAGTACTGAAAGGTCACAGAGGAAGTCGGGTTTCTGGCCAGCTATCTACAATACTCAACAAATATTAAAAACACTGAATCTTGAAGGAAGATCTYCCCTCAACAAAAAACAAAGCAAAACAAAAACTTTTTAAAAATTATGTAAGACAGCCACCTGACTCTACAGCTTCTTTATCCCAAATGAAATTGGACTACACCCAAACACCTGCTTTGCATATTTAGTCTTCTAGTGAGATATCTGTGATGTTCAGTATTTCTTTTGGATAGCTGCATGATCTAAAGCAKAGAACCAAAAAAGCAACATTTGCAGAATTCATGGCAAAAAAACCCAAAATATTCATCTCATATCACCTTCAGAGATGGTAAGCTGGTTAATGAATTTTACTCACATTCACTTTCACATATTACAGGTATCAGTGGTGACTCTGTGGTATTACCAACAGGATTTATCTTTATTTATGCTAGCACTTAATAGCAAAAACAATCTCCTCACAGGATCCAGAGAACTAGTTATGCTAAGAAATAAATTTTGATATTCAGTTTCTAGTCCCCCGCCACATATTCTGTGTAAAAAGCTGTACAATTGCTCTGGATCAATTGGTTGCTAAAAATTCCCCTAATTTGTCTTCAAGTGTGGTGATTAGATGCACATGAGAGTTACAGCTAAACTGAGTGGCAGTAAGTACTTGAAAGAAAATAGCTTCTTTTCCAGAATATTTTCATGAGATGAAATTAAATGGAAAAAATGAGAGGTATAAAGGGGAGTCCATTTCCTGCTGTGATGCAAATAACACCCAAACTAGTCACCCAAGAAGGATATGAACACCTGATCACATTTGATTATAGTTTTATCTTACACTTCACTATTTCAGGAATTTCCCATAATTCCTTATACATCTAATTGCTCGTCTCAATGTTCTCAGATTCTGAGTATCTACAGAATGCAACCAGGGCAAGGAAGTGCTTTCCACCTTTGAGTAGACACAGTGTAAGACCCAAGTAGACTGATGTGATGGTACTGTGATGTCGACTGTCAACATGATCACAAAGCCCAGCAAGATCAGCCACCAGCCCAGAGGCCACATGGACTGTACAGCTCACAAAGATCCTCCATCTGGAGAACATGGAGGGATCCATATTTTTATCCCGTGTCCACATGCCCCACTGGAATTACACCAGTTAGAGCMGCTACCATTCTTKCATYRTTCCTTCACTCAGAGGCTGCCMCAAGAGCCTCACARACACCAKCACCAGCTCCWTTAGCTGAGCACYGCAGAGCTGAGGCTCTTCAGATGTAGTATGACACCTTCACAGGCGGATCTAAGGAGGCAAACAACTTCAGATTGTTACAAACTTTCCTGCAAACTAACAGGAAAGACAGCTCTACAGTCTCCTCTTGCTTTGTGTCAAATGTTCTGCAGTTGGATGATGGGCAAGAGAGATTACTGCTCAGAGGTCCTGCTGCAGAGCATAGGATTTACCTGAATGCGTGAATCTCAGAAGTTACTGCAGAACTCCCCTGCATGTGAGTAGTGTTGGAGTTGCTAGTCCCCACAGGAGGATTGTACACCTCCATATGTACACCTCCATCCACACACATGGATTGGGAACCCTGTCCTCTCAGCTGCATTGTAATTTATCTGAATTGACACAACGTTTCTGCTCCAGATAAACACACACCATGGAGCAAAGCCATATGCAATGC